TTAGAATGGAGAGTGTTGTTTATTCTTGTTATTGTTAGTTTGTATTAAGCACTGTTTTTTTATAACAACATCTTCCTGTGATTTTAAACAGACTTTATTTACTAATATTAAATGTCGATAAGAAATCTGTTTGTTTATATTGGACAGTTTCATACAATCTGAAATTGTTTTCGAATTAAGATCCAAGGTAGTGTACTTTAAAAAAGATTAGGGATAGCATGTCAAAGAGAGTTAATTACCATAAGAATTTTATAACACTTAAAAAGCAGTTAAAAATACACAATTCTCTGTAAACGTTTCGTTACATTCTGAAACTCTTGGACAGTAAACGATTCCTATTGAGGCTGAACTCAAAACTTTAAGTATCTAATATGACTGTTAGACCCTGTCATCTAATAAGCTAGTTGCAAGCTGATCTCTAAGTTGGTACTTTTTATTGATGAACGTTCTAATGTCATAAAAGACACTATCATTATTTCATTTCCATAAAGAGGTAAAGTTAACTGAAGGTGCATGCTCTATTATTGATGGTATCTTCTCATGACATTCAAACATGCAAATGTCGATACAAGTTGGTATTCATCACAGACTGGCATCATTTAGAGAACCATTGGAAACCTGAGAGCACTGGACAACTGTTTCGTCGTAGTATGAAACTCCTCAGCAATGCACACTTATGACCTTGCCAGGGATCGAACCAGGATATTCAGGTGCCATGTTCACCATGTCACCATTAAGTCACTGGATTGGAATCCAATGGTCCAGATTCTCCACCTTCTGTCAACTTAGGATATAGAGCCATCTTCATTTAGTACCGATGTTGAGCATTTCTCCTCAAGTCTGACAATCAAGTAGTTTTTAAATATTTAGTCCAAACATTAATAGCCAATATATAGTATGCATACCATAGTGTATTTTTCTTAAATTATCGTTGACTTATGATGACCCATTTATATTAGGATGAATGAACTACCATTAAAAATACAATACATCTAAGTTTATTATAAATATATAATCTATGTATGATTATTATTATCATTATATCTAAAGTGTTCAGTTAATTTATGCGTGTTCCATTACACAGCCGGTCAACTGTGTGCATATAGGTACATAATCGAACAAAACAACATGGATACCGATCAATAAAATTTCGTTATGTATCAAATACCTAGTTCATTTTATCCTGTCTTCTCTGACTTTCATCTTAATCTACATTTTCGACTGTTTTCAGGAAGGCTTTAGGATTAAACAGTTCAAAAAATTTATCTGATTACCATTATCATGTCAACATGGACTTGTTTACTTTAAAATGAAATTTTATCAAACAACTGAGATAGGTAAATTAGAATTTGAATCTAAACTGAAAACCGAAGTGCTCTCAGCAACCTATTGTACATTTGTGTTGCTTGCAATGAGCTATACTTATTATGTGTGGGCTAATGGTACCATCTGGCTAGCCAATTCTCGGTAGGTGAGGCAGTGTTTGAACATATAACCCATCAGGTGAAGCCACTTCCATTAGCTAAGGAGTCATAACTCCACTGAAATCTGACAATATTCGAGCAGTTATGAAAATCTTAATTTACACTACGCCTGTTGATCAAACTTATTTTAATCCCCTGAAGGTGTTTTGATATTAGTGAGCTGGTATACTGTGATACTGGTAGGCAAGGGTTACAGTAGAACAGAATCGAAACTAAACTGCGTGGATCAAAAATAAAGATCATTATGAGCAAAACTGAATCAAAAGAGTACCTCCAGCGATATCTACCAATTCATATGTACGTGTAAAAGTGTGCACATTAGAAGATAAAAGTTCTTGCTCGCATTTCTGAATATATCCTGAAGAATTTGAGTCTTTTAAGGCCGTAGGATTTAAATAAAGCGATTGTTCAGCATTTACTTGATACCGGACACAAAGTCAATATCTCAAAATCGTTCGAAGTGATCAGTAAACAGCTGAAACCACCCCTTTGCAGTTCCCTGACGCACTTACAACTACAAACTCAAACTTAATCTATGTAATTCGAAAGATACTGCCATCAATCTTGCTTTGTCTTGGTAGTTCTCATCCCCTAAACTTGTAAATACAAATTTTTATGACCTTATGACCTTTTGCTTTTCTCACTATATCTTTATATTAATCTTATTACTGGATTTAATGCAAATCTCTTAACCTTCTATTGAATTTACTTAACCATGATGTCGCTTTTACCAAATGTAGAATTAAATATGTACAACCCCTTTCCATTTTATTGTGGTGCAAACCTGAGGTACGGTTCTTTTTAAAAATCGTATATTCAGGTAGATAATTGAAATAGCTATGGATTCCCCACTTAGACCAATACTTGGCGAATTGTTCATGTCAAAGTTGGGAAATAGGGTTTCGAAGTCGTACAAAGGTTCAATGGATACTTATTACAGATATATAGATGTAACCTTTGTTATTTGCTAAAATAAGATGAAGGTAAATAGATTACTGACGAATTTTAGTACATCACATCCACGATTAATATTCTAATGGGAACTGTAAAATTCAAGTTTTTCTTACTAGGTTAGACAGGGGGGAGATCATCAGGAGTGCTTACCACAAACCAACTAAGAGTGGAAAGTATACACACTTTCATAGTTTTTTCCATAATTACGTAAAAGGAAATAGGTTTGATATCTGCTTGAACAGACAAAAAGAATTTGCTGCTGCGCTACAACAGATAAAGAGTTACAAGGTTTGATGAATATTCTCAAACAGAATGGATACCCTGAAAATTTTATTCCGAAGAACATGATAATAAGAACGGAAAAGCGACTTATCTCCCCCTATGACATGAAGCAAATATTCATCTATCTTCCATTTAAGAGTGGTAATTTAGCCAAAATCATTCCAAGCAGACTTCAGATTTTATAAACGAAAATACTTCTTACAGATAGTTTGAGATTGCTGTTCAGTAATACTTGTATCTTACCACCATGTCTGAAAGATAGGATCTCTTGTATTCCTGTTTCATTGTGTATCTATAAATTCAACTGTTCATGTGGTGTCAACTACTTGGGGCGAACTATAAGAACCCTCCCATAACGTGAAAGAGAACATCTATCAGTATGACTAGCGAAATAAGAAAGAAAGAGGATTACAAGTCCTGTTCAGTCCCACCTAATTGATACTAGTTCCAGTGTTGACATTAACTCCCCTTCCCAGTCATCCACAACATAACAAATCAAGTGCCACAAGGAGTAACAACTCGCCTTCTTAAAGCCACTGAAGCCATTGCAATAAAAATCATGGCTCTAAGTTTGAAAAAAATTGTACCTAAAGGTACAGATTAATGACACTTTTACAAAAATACGTATTTACTCAAATTTTTGTCTTATCAGTATTCAATGACGCTGTTAAATAAGCATTTCTTATGACGGAGAGTATTTGTAGCTCAGGAGGATAGATTTCGAAGGTGTTGTGTTATCTGAGCTAAACACTTTATTCGTGGAGTTTTCATTGTCATTCTAGATAACATCATCAGCACAAACATCAGATAGAAGTAAGCTATGTGTTTGACCCAATCTATCAACCAATAAGAAACAACAAGAACGTCAAGTTTCAGGTCATCAGGAGAACCAATCAAAATAAATATGGAGAGAGTGATAAGACATTGGCAGAAACAACGAATCACAGAAAAGACCATCAGGACAAGCTGCTAAATAAATTGTGGAGAAAACCTTATAGCTCACTTCTTTCTGAAGTCTGTGTTGATGATGTCTAGAATGACAATGAAAATTCCACGATTAAATCATCAATCTCAGTGAAAACAACACTATCAAAAGCATGTCATATTTCTCAAGCCATTTCTAATCATTCTGTGATGTGTATTCAGTTCTCATGTAATAGTTTTCTTACAACATAACGCAACTGAAAGTCACTGTTCAATTATTTCAGCTTATCTTTGTCATCACTCATTGTATGAGTCAGCGTCTTCCCCACTCAAGTGAACTGAATGGTTAATATAAGAGTAAAACTTGTGCACTGTGGTAGAATGTACCTCCGTTTTTATTGATTTATTAGATTTATCATACAGTGTAATAGTATTGTTTACTGGATTACGTTTCGGACATAATTTATTGTCTATAGTCATATCAAGATAATTATACAACTTTGAGATATCCTAATTTCATTGTGCCCTTTTTGATATAGGCAGTAAGATTCTCCACGTATCTGGAACAAATGCTGAGTTATTCCTGTTGCATGTGTTGCGTGTTGATTCGATAAACAAAGACTCAGTTATCAGTCTCTCCCTCCACCTTGTTATGTTAGTTTTAGGAATTTGCACCCTATCCCATCCTATTGTATGGCTGTGTGTAATCGCATGCATAGCTATGACTGAGCTTCTTTCTAAATTCCTTACCTTACTAGGATCTACCAATTTTGACCTAGCTAAGTTTTTTGTGTTCGGATGACCTAACTGACCCTGGTTGACTATTTTGACCTATGTATTTGACCTCGCAATCGTTGCAAGGGATTTGCTAAACTAAGTTATTCTGCTTAACTAAGTGGAATACTTACTTACTACCCATCTCATAAAGAAAACAGAAAATTAGGACTATATAAAGGATATCTCAAAGTTGTGTAGTTATCTTGATATGACTTTGGACAATTAATTATGTCTGAAACGTAATCCAGTAAACAATACTATTACACTGTGTGATAAATCTAATAAATCAATAAAGATGAACTGAATCGTGAATGTGTGCTTGGTGGTGGTTAACAGTGAACAATAAAATACTTATTTCTGGTTTTTGTGTTTCACTAACTGGTAACTTAGGTTACTTCGATGTTCCTGTAGGGAAATCAACCGGGTTCCTATAGCCTCGAAGATCAAATCATGAATTTAGGAAGCCGAGCCATTCATCAACCAGTTATATATAGTTGTCGAGTTGCTAAGCTACTTATATGTAAAGCAAACAAAAGTGTATTTATCACATTAGTTAAAAAGTTTGCATATCTAACTTACATTTTACTTTGTCTCATCATTAAAGATGCATTACCCAACAATTCACGAGAGACTAATCTTGCTGAAGGTTTTGGATAGCCAAAGTATAATTTTGTTGATGACCAACCAATTGGTGTATTCATACCATTCTCATATTTAGGCGGTAATAAACGTCTGAATGGAACTAATGCTGCACCCCATCTAGGATGATTTAAATTATTACACGTTCCGTCAATTGATCGATAACGTAAATGAAAGCACAACTGCCTTGAGCATGGATCTACTTGTTGGGCACTTTGACATCCTGATAATTGAGCTATTATAGCCAGCTGATCTGAATTCAGCTCAACACCTAATGTATCACGTGAGTTTGGATCAATCTCAGCATCCTCCTCCTTAAAGTCATCAGGCATTGTATCAGCCTTGCTGACTTCAAAGTGTTTCTGATTCCCTTGACGTAAGATATTGGTCACCTCATCGATTGCTGCTTCATACACTTCAGCTGCTTTGGCTAACTCCAATGCGGCACGATTCGGCTGTCGAAATAATGATGCAATGTCTGCTGATGATCGTCGCCTACCTGTATCCCTTAGACGATCTGCTGTTTTCCTAATAGCTGTTTCAATACGTTTACGTGCTTTTTCAATGATATGTTTGACAAGTTCATCACCATCAACTGATCCATAATTTGATGTCATGTTCTTCACATCATGATTCATAGTCTCTTCACTGTTTCCTACAGGAGCAGACCATTCATGGTGACTATCCTCAGTAATAACTTGAATCATTGTTGAAACCCGCGCCGATCCCACTCTATTCGCAACGTAACATTTATATTTACCGTGTGCATCTTCTGAAGTAACATTTCTAATAAGTAGTACACTCATTGTTTCTGTATTTTCATTTTCAGAAAGTATAAACTCATCTGTTGAATAAATACTTAAATCTTTTTGAAACTGAAACTGTAGCGTATTGATCTCTGTACTATGACTTCGAACAATATACCGACCACCTGTAACCAGTTGTAGTGGCAGAGTCTCTTTTTGCCACACCCAAGATATAGTGGGCTTTGGCAAACCTTTAGCTGTACATCGTAAGTCCAAAATTGAGTGTTCTGCCACAGTATTATCATCAGCTGGGGGAGCATCTGTTATTGTTGGTTTAATTGGTTGGATTAGTTGTAGAATAGCCTCTGAAGTAACAAAACCATAAGGATTGGACAGAACACAAATGTAACTGCCTTCATGATAATCATGGGCTTCAGTTATTTCCAGAATCTACATAATCAGAAGGATAGATAAAAAAATATTGAAAAACTATATTAACGAAGAGGAAATTCTAAAGTTGTAGCACTTTTAAAGTCAGTCAAAATCTCTTGTCAGTTGATTGTGAAGCTGTGGCTCGGTGATTTAGGGAGGTGACTACCAAACATTGGGTCATGGGTTCGAGCTCCGCTCTACCTAATAAGGTTAAGGCAGTTTGCTAGTATCAGTAGCCTTCAAACAATAGGCGTAACTCACTGCCTACTGCGCGGATGCGTACAAGGCTACTGAGTAAGTTAAGATTGCTTTTTATTTATCAGCTGATCAGTTGCTAATCAATCCCATATAGGCAGAAGTTACCAAAGTGTCGGAGCAACACCTATAAGCTTTGTTAATGACTAAAAGCTTAGGTAAACAGATAAAGGATGTATACGTAGAGTCTTGAGAACAGATAACGGTACCCTTAAATTCAAAGTGACATTTGGTTCATGTAGAAGAAAAAGTGAGCTTTTATATTATCCCTAACTATATAAGTTATTGAAACGTCCACTAGAAAGATCTTTGACTAAAATAGAAAATTGTATTCATGGAATTGTACCTCATAGTAGAGTTGCCCAATACAATCGTGAACTTCCTGCTAAAGATAACGACGTTAACTTCAGTGGCTGGCGTTTCCAACATGAAGTGAATTAGAATCCCTTGAGAAGAAACAATGGTCGACCATGTTATACATTATAATATATTTTAACACATTCAGTCAGACTAGGTAATGACAGGCTACATCAGTAGCAAATGTTGACTGCAGAAGATTAAATTTTCATGAATCTTCCGTGGACAATTCACTTGTATTAAAGAGACAATCTAAAGAAAGAAGTCGATTGTTTTTAAACAAGGTGTTACACTGTGACCTTTCTGACTTTTGTCAGTATCATTGTGCTTATCATAATCATATCCTGATAACATTGGTATATTGTACAGGCGTAAATAAACTACTTCATCGGAAATACTCATAGTTAGTGGGATTTATTTGTGCGTTTATATTGTTACTTGTATTATCCTGTTGTTGATTGAACCCAAATTGATCGAACTCTATTGATTTAAAGCATTCTGCGTGGACACTTTGATTTCAGTTTTACAGTAATGATGCATAATGGCTAGCAATGGAAACTGGGACTCGCGTTTCGTCCTAGTTGGGGCTCATCAGTTGGATGTAGCTGCTTTCTAGTGGGCGATATTTTTCCCACTAAGAATGGAACCTGGGATGTAATGCTTTGAACGTCATGAATCATATAAAGTCGGAAGGCAATATCGAGACACTCGAGCATGAGCCTGTAGGTCAATAGAAATCGATTATATCAGTCTAGTCAATGACGGGATAATACCAGCAACAATATAAACAAAACTATACTCGTCACACAAACAGCAGCTACTGTGACACAGTATTTTGGTAGACATCTCTGTGGCGTTTGAATCAATCGGTACCATGTTCAACTCTTATTAGGAACAACACTACTGCCTGGGGGGAAGTACATCTAGCTGACCGATTCCAAAAAGAATGAAATGTTTGTCCATGATTCTACAGCTTGACACTATCCATCAGTACTATAGAAACTGTTTGTGTGCCTTAAAAACGTGATTATCTAACAAGTTAGCACGTCTAAGGTTTAGCCCACTACAGTAATGTACAGCATCCAGTTCAACTGGTTCTTGTTTTGATATTTCATGCCCTGAAGACAAATCAGGCGAAATTATATGGCCTCTTATAAAACAACAGAATCTTTCTTTCAATAACTCATAGTATAATAAAAGTCATCACTATCATTCATACTGTAGACGTATTTTGGTGGACCTTTTCAATCCCACATAACTCCGCCTCTGAATATTTTATACCATTGGGGAACAAAAGTTCGTTAGAGATTTTAAATCATTCTAATTTTCTATTTTTTAAGACTGATTGTTGATGGGCAAAAGATGTAAAACAAAATTGAATTCAATTTACTTTACAAATCTTGTTCTTAGTAGGTTTATAAAAGCGTAGTAAGCGTAGAGCTTTGAACTCACACATACTATTTGATTTGGATGCTTATTCATGATGTCAGGTAACCTTAAGCAAGAATTCAGTACAGATATAACTGATATTTGAGAAACAGAAGACATGCAAAAATCTCTCAGCCTTGAAATCGACACCTGATAGAGGTACAGGTGCTCACCGTTGAGGAGTCACAAACTGTACGAACGGATACCTACTATTGTCAGGTTTTCCCTGATGTCGGTTCATGGTAAAAGCTAATTTCCAATCAATCAATTAACCCCTATGTCATAAAAGGTAAGAACAAGATATCTCATACTTTCAAGCTTTCCTGAAGAATTCTCCTATTTATTAACTGGCCATTCATGTACATAGCGTAAGAACATTTCAGTGACCTCCATTCACCTAGAACAGAAACTAGACAGTTTTTGTATGCTATGGAGGGTCGTCACAACAAGTAGAGAACCCCATGTTTTTTTCTTAAGATACAATCGGTGCCCTCCTGAAGCAGCGCTAACTTTTCTGTTGTTATCATTGAAATCATGAACGGTTTTGAAGTTGTATGCATTATTGAAATTTCCAAGGAGTAAAATGCAGTTTCCTTAACTAATAATGAAATTGCTTTAAAGCAAAAGTCCAGCCTAATCAATAAATATATAGTGGCGATTTCATTTACAGAAGCTTTTCAAATTGAAATACATTTGTAACAAGCGCCTAAATGTACAACAAACTTCACAGTAGATGAATGAATTAGGACCAGCATCTACGAGTGAAGCCCAACATAGCAGACATAAATTACATATTGAAACAATAAACCAGTGAGGACCTGACGAAATTAACCATAGGTGTAGGCGAGTAATATTAAACATAACACAAATTGTTTGCTACATATCAAAATATTAAGAATGATTGGTAGTACGCTGTAATAACTGAAGGTAAATTTGTAACTATATGATTTTATCATCTGGCTATCTGAGATAGCTGTAGTTTGACAGACTAGTATTTATACTGGGTGATGATTGAAGGTGAAATGGAAATTTGGACCGCGATCAGATTCCATGGAGCGACCATCAGGTTTCCAACCCGATGCTCTACCAACTGAGCTACGAGGCACAACTGTTGATCATATTTTTATTTCAATTGAATCATCAAGGGTCTTGTCTGACTACCACGTGAATTTGTGATGCATTACTACTGCTTGATCGTATTCATACTGGCTGCCTGGTCAGGGCTTCTCATCCCAAATCTGGTCGCGATTCAAATTTTCATTTAGCCTTCAGTTATCACCCAGTATCAGTACTAGACATTCAACTCACAGCTATCTCAGATAGTTAGAGTGATAATCAATATAATACTCCCCCTCTCTAATTCACTCACATTTGGATTGTGATGAGAAGTCCAGACTGCGGGCACCCAGTGTGAATAAGAGCAGGCGGTAGTAACGCGTCATGAATTCAATTGGCAGTTGGGCAAAACCCTCGGTGATTGTAGTGAAATTAAAGTCTGGTGAGCAGTCAAATCTTATAGCTCAGTTGGTAGAGCTTCGGACGGGAAACCCGGTGGTCACTGGTTCGAATCCAGCCGTGGTCCAAATTTTCATTTCACCTTCAATCATCACTCAGAATATATGATTTCACTTTGATTCTTTTGTTAATCAAGTTAAATATGTTCCTATTTAAATAATGTAGATGGAACTAACTTTTTTGTAGAGCGGAAATGTGAATGTAAGTTGGTACCCAGGTAACACAATATGTAATTTAGTCTTCAGTGCAGTCTATAAAGGTAAACTAGACAATGAGTGTGTTCGAACCAAGCAGAATACAAATTTTGTATGTCATAAATTAGGTTGTATGTTGAATTTTTAGTTTAGAAGGATCAAAGAACATACAATTATTCCATGAGAATGTTATTTACCTTCAAAAGTCGGCTTGACCTGACATTTTGATGAACAATGATATTCTGGGAGTTAAGACTTAGCTGCTTTATTTATTAACTTCTCTAGAACTGGTATTAATAAATTATAAGCTATAAAGCTGGTTGCCAATTATATAGCTTAAAATATTTTCTGTTCACCTTTAATGTTTTTTAGTTCATTCTAAGAGTCAATGAATTTGAAAGCACTAACCTTCAGGTGATGAAGTAACAATACAGCTTCAGTCTTGACTGCCTACAGGTCACTTTACATACAATGATTCCTAATCATTAGTATACAGCTGAATTTAGCTAACATAGAAAGGAACCTGCTGAATTACTGATTTCCAAACTAGCTGTACTGCCAGATGCTTGCAGCTCGGTGTTTAGAATGCCACACTAAAATATGGTTTGAATGTCACGCAAACTTTATAGAAGGCAAATTTAGAAGATAGATAAGTATCCTTTTATTAGATTATACACATATATGTCCAACAGGTACTGAACGGTAGCATTGGATGGAGGTTATGTTATTTCAGGAACTGACAGAAGTAGAAAACATGGACAGTTGGATTCCAATCCATAGGCTAAATGGTAAAGTGTTGGCCATGGAACCTGAAGGTCCTGGGTTTGGCCTCTACTAGGGCCATGGATGTCCACAGCTGAAGACCCCAACATTGGGATGAAACGGTTGCCCAGTTTTCCAAGGTTTCCAATGTTTCTTTAACTAATGTCAGTCCATAATGAATACCAAACTGAAATCAATAAATAAATCCTCATAAACCTCAAAACTGAATATTTTTCAGGTGACTATTCTGAAAATTTGCTTTAGGACTCTGTTTTGTAGAATTGCTTAGAACTGCTTATTGATAATCGTATCATCTATCTACTATGTGTCAGATCTTGCCTTGATTTATCTGTTAGTGAAATCAGGTGATCAAGAACAGTCGCTACTTAATTAAAAGCAAATCACCAGATTCCCTGTGACTAAAATTAATACTTTTAGTCTCATAAACGGTTTAGTGTTGAGTTGATCTTGGTGACTAGCAGAGGAATCCACGACGTACGTTTCATCCTACCTGGGACTCGTCAGCTGGACTTACCTGCACTGCAGTGAATGCTGCTGTTCCCACCGAGACTCGAACCCAGTACTACTCGCTGCAAACGCCAGAGTGTTATCCACTGGGCCACTGGGGCACTATAGCCACCTGTTATGCAACGGATGTCAGTTGTTGTAAAGATACTTGTTGTAATTTCCTGTCGGTATACAGAGCTGAACTGCTCAACCTCTGCTGACAGATCGGTTCCTATGCGGGTGTCCTGATACTGCTGGATATTCATGATGTTATGTTGATCTTGGTGACCAGTAGGAGAATTTAGGACATGTATTTCGTCCTATTTGGGACTCATCAGTTGGATTTACCTGCACCTCAGTGTGTAATGTTGTTTCCTCCGAGGCTTGAGCACGAATAATTCTAGTATATAAGTACACGACTAAGTACAGCTGATCAATTTATGAATGGTAACCGCTTATCTTGCTTCTGCAACAATCAAAAGTTTCCAGAAAGGCTGCTGATCTGTCACTTGTGTGAGGTTCCGATCGTAGTAAACTGTGATAAGATTCGAAGCCAGTCATGTGGGTAAGCGTAACAACATTGAGTTCACATAAATTAACATTTTTACGAATACTGACATTGGTGGAAGTTATAAGACTGGTGAGAGCGTAGTCCACCGTTCATTAGGCAGTTATACGTAGGGTTCATAAAGTATACGAACCTTAGATCAAAAGTAGTTTATGCAAATAGCGTCTGTGTTCTACATTCTACGTGAACCGCTTTTAAGCTTCCGTTATTTTTCCCTTGTTTTCTGCGATCAATTCCCAATTATTTCATACTCTGCCTTAGTCGCTACTGACTGAATTTTAACGGTGATTACGTTGCTCATCGACGCCATGTTAGATACTACTTATATGTCTTCATGAATTAAATACACCCTAATGGTTTTAACAATGATTAAGTTAAGCTTTCAATAGTGCAATGACAAAACTATGTGCAGAATAAGACGACTTCATTTCATTTTATTTCATATAATTTTCATCAGCTACATTCAACTTGAATAAACGAGCAGTTAGTCATTATTACAAATATTATCAATTCAGATGTACATACGGTAGCAAGTAAACAAGAAGAATATAGACGTAGTCCCTACCAGGATTACTGAGCATATGCCGAACAGTCCACTTCACAGAGATTCATCCTTATTCACTACTTTGATAGCTCTTCAGTTATGTGATATAGGATATAAAGTAGACATGATGAGTTCGTTCATTCTAGTCAACTGGCAAAAGACTTCACACTTACTTCAGATTGTAGAAGTCATCACTATCTGACAAGTCGAACTTGAACTGTGCGTTCAGAAAAGGAAAGTAATACCTATATTTTATGCATATTCCTATTCATATGCACAGTGACTATCGTTTCAGTATTGTTATATTTGTTACTTCATCTCACCCTTGTCAAGACAATATTTCCATATGATTACGCAACCGCTTTCACTTATTTCTAATCTTAGCTCCCGCATTTGTGAACATTCTTCATGTTACCTTATGTAACCTGTATCTAGTTTTATCATTATATAGTTAGGTTTTAATATAATCCCAGAGGACGATGAAACATGCCCGTCTCATCATAGAGAAAGGAATTAATTCAGCGAAGAAAATCTTCTTTTTCGACAATATCATTTTCTAAAGCTGTACAGTCGTATTTATATATAACAGTCTATTATTAAACAATAGGGTATAGTTGCATCATTAACCTAGTGCTAAAAAACAGAAAACAAGAATGTAAGGTAGTTGCGTAATAATCTTTTAGACAGTGGAAATAACGAGGAAGGCAAGTAGTTGGACAAGGTAGAAATTGTTGGTAGATGAGATGTGCGAATATTGAATGTCCACTTGATGTAATCAATTAACAGTTCAGTTCATGAACACTTGATCAACTCTGGACAAGTAGCTTCAATGGAATCCTCCTTCAGTGTCATTTTCAAAGTCAAAGTGGATAGTCCAAAACGAGCAGGCTTTTGACAGTTGTGCACAGAAGAAGCACTGGCAACTCACCAATTCAAACCTGATTTCTGTGTGCAAGCAAACAAACTATGTCCAGTCTCTCATCTTACCATTGTCTTAACACTTTACCAGTTTTCCTACTTGATTATGACTCTTGTCTCATTCATTTGTCTATCAGGTGGACAATCAATATTCGCACTCCTCATCTACCAACAATTTTCACCTTAACAAAATCCTTACTTTCCTCGTTATTTCCACTCTCTAAAGAACTATTACACAACTTCCTTTTTATATTTGATTTCTATTTGTTAGCACTAGGTTAGTGATGCAATTATACCCTATTGTTTAATTATCATTATTTTTTCCTCGGGTTCCTAGTGGAACATACCGCTTAAGTAGCACGTCGCCATTTCACTCTCTTCTCAACCTAGCTCCACTACTGTCCATAAGCTTTCATTTTTTCGTCACACGATCTCCTCCACGTCACCTTTTACTCGAACGCCCAACTCGTCGTTTCCCATCTGAATTCCACTCGATGGCCTGACGCGTGATGTACACAATCGGCCGTCTCAGTGTATGCCCAATCCATCTCCACTTTCTTCCTCTGCATATTTGTTGGGCGATAGGATCTTGGTTGGTTGGTTCGTTGCCAGAGTTTCTTGTTGCTTATTCTTTCTGGCCATCTGATCTTCAGTATTCAGTGAGAGTAGGTGGTAGCTACTGATGTATGCTTGTAGTTTGTTGGAAATGCTTTTCGTAACGCGCCAAGTCCCTCAGCCATAACATAGATGCACTGACTTGATTAAATTGGTGTTGAAAATCTGGATCCTGTTCATGCTTCATGCTGAATGCAGTAGATCTCCACACTAGTTTCAGGTTAATGAAAGCCTGTCTTGCTTTTCCGATCCTGGTCTTGACATCCTCGTCTATGTCACCTGTATTTGAAACGATGCTGCCTAGGTAGGTGAAAGAGACTACTTCCTTTAGGTTTCTCCCACTGATGGTAATTGGTGCCACTTGTTGTTGATGCTCTTGTTGGTTGGGTATCTTCATCACCTCTGTCTTCTCTACCTTCACTTGAAGTCCCGTCTTCCTTCGCTGCCCTGCCTCTCCTGTCAGCTTGTTAGTTTTCGTCTGTAGATCTTCTAGTTTGTGCGATACGAGACATAAATCATCATTGGCAGAATCCAAATCTTCTAGGGTCTTTTCACCGGCCCAGCGTATGCCCATCTTCTTGCTCTGTACGGTTTCTTGCAAGATCCAGTCAACCACAACCAGGAAGATCATCGGTGGTAGTAGGCAGACTATTGTTTAATAATAGACTGTTATGTGTTTATGATAAACATAAATACAATTGTACAGCTTTAGAAAATGATATCGTCGAAAAAGAAAATTTTCTTCACTTAACTATCTCTTCTTTTCTTTCATCCCAGAGTACTTGGAATATAAAAACAAGATTTCTTTTGAGTGTTTCGCTGTTACAGCTTCTTCAATAGAATATATATCTAGCCTGGCTGAATTTACTATCTATAACTCCTTTTTATTCCAAAATGCTATGTTTTTTATCTTCAAGATATTAACTGGTGTCTTAAAATGCTCTTTATACACTATGTTAGTGTTAGTCATAGTGATTATTTACTTATTTCTTCAGGTTAAATCCAGTTGACGAAAATCCTATGCAACAAAGTGATGACGTCATCTTATTCTGCAAATGATGTTCTCACTGTGTTATTCAAATTCGTTATAGGGACTAAATGCATGAAACTTTTAACTCGACAGAAGTGAAATCCGAAAAATACAAATGTCAGAGGTTAAATGTTATTATCCTTTATCACTCATGTTTGAACTGTGAATTACTTATCAGTTATCAAATTGTTGATGGCTCAGTTATCAGCAGTTTTTTTTATTATCTCTTCAGCTTAATTCTGGTCCACTTATAATGACAACAGAAATATGACTAGCACATACTCATCCATACAATATTTAAACAAGAAATTCAAACTCATGGGAGGCTTTATTCCCATGAGTTAGGTGGTAAATCATTGACACAATATTCCGTCAATAGTTACACCAGATCATACTGCAACACAATATTTCATCTACTTTCCCGTATTATTCTTGTGAGAATCTCTAGTATAGTATAATCTGCCTCATGTATCTTGAACAGTTGCTATAAAAAAAATTTAACTATAACAGCATGAAGGATATGGACAAAAGTAGGTGGCTTACTTGACGTCTTCTATAAAGTCGTACATAACGTGTAGCTGTCACTGGTAGAATCCAAGTAATCTGACCAGCAGTACCTGATTCTCCTCTGCATATAAATCTTGCCACTTCACCAGCCACCACTTTTACACTTTCCAGATGAACAGCTAAGACTGGGGGTCTGTTTTCAAGATAAGATGTAGTATTTTGTGCAGCATTTGTTGTCAGAGCACTATTCAAATTTTGGTCATGTGTTTCATAATCACCATCTGATTTAGTCACTAGCTTAGGTGTCTTCCCACCGAAATCCTCCCTTGGACAATGAGGCCATGGCCAATAACGATGCATAAGTTCTGGTACCATATGAAAAGGTTGTGAATGAATCATATTATTTCTGTCTGGATCTCTGATTGTCTGGTAACCTAACAAGCGTGTTTGATTTACCAGTGTCCGAAGTCGGTCAGCCAAGTCTGACAGCTTCATATTGCGTAATTGTGGTGGATTATAGCATGTAGCTCTTGATGATTTCTGCTCGACGTACATAAGAGACAGAGCGAAGTCAACTATTTCACAAGGACAATAGATTGGATTTCCGCCAAGTGATAAGCGCTTCAAATAAATTAAACCCTCCATGGAAAATGGTATATGCTTCAATTGATTGTCTGACAAATCCAATTCTTCTAACATATACACTGGTGTAAAAACATCTTGTGGTAAATAGGCAAGACGATTAGATCGTAATATCAAACTTTTAAGCATTGGTAGACCTGTGAATGCTTCAACAGATATCCATACAATTTGATTAGAAAACAATTCTAAACGTAATAAATCTAAGTGTCCTTCAAAAGAAGCTTTCTCTAGTCTCATTATTGAATTTTCTACAATAATTAAATATTGTAAAACTCCACCACCTGGACTTGGCACAATACTGGGTATAGGCGGTATTTCACGGAATCCAACATTTTGACAATGAATTGTTTGTCCCATACACATACAACCTCTTGGACATTCTTCAGTAGATGACAATGTTAACTGAAGTAACACTAACAAAGACCAGAAGATGAATTCAAACATTATGAAAATTCTTTTATTTTGAAGTTGATAATTATAAACTGATTATTTAACACAATTGTTGTTTAACTCATCTACAATAATGAACTGTTTTAAATTCTATCATCCGGTTGTATATTTATATGCCTCATGTGCATACATTTTGTTTTAGAAATATATATATAGGTAGATTTTTGTTTACAATTGTTCAATAAAACAATAATAATTAGGCTTAACATATAGATGACTAAATAGTTCTTGAAAGTCATAACACTTATTTAATAAATTTTAATGTTATATTCACACAATGAGGGATTGATAAAGTTCTACGTTACCGTTACACCTAACAGTAAGATACATTCACAAATTCATCGATAATAAAAGTGCTTACCGAAATTCAGTGGTATAAAGTTGTCAGAAGTTCATTCAGGTCAGTTAGTCAGTCTCTGATAGACAACAAATAGTTATGGAAGGGTAGTAATCAGGGAGCATTGTATTCCACATCTAACTGGAAATCTGATAACTAAAGTGAAACAACTTATCGATAATAATTATTATTATTTGTCCCTTGGGTTCCTAATGGAAAATAGGGCTTCAGTAGCACGTCTCCATTCCACTCCGTTCTCTGCAATCTTTTGAACCTGTCACCACGACTGTCCATAAGCTCTCATTTCTTCCTCACATGATCTTCTCCATGTCACTCTCCGACACTCAACTCACCATTTCCCATCTAGTTTCCACTCGAGTGACTAGCCTGAGGCGTGATATCCCCAATCGGCCTTCTCAGTCAGTATATGCAGAATCCATTTCCACTTCCTTCCAATGCATATTTGTTGACCGATGGCTTTTTCGTTGGTTCGTCACCAGGCCAGAGTTCCTTGTTGCTTATTCTCATTATTCTGGCCATCTGATCTTCAGTAACGATCCAGAGTAGGCAGTTGTTGATGAATGTGTGTAGTTTGTTGGAAATCCCTTTCGTAACGCGCCAAGTCTCTGAACCATACAGGAGCACTGATATGACGTTGGTGTTCGAAATCCAGATCTTGTTCAAGATTTATGCTGAGTGCAGTGCAGAAGATCTCCACACCGGTTTCAGATAAATGAACACCTGTATTGCTTTTCCGATTCTGACTTGAACATCCTCGACTGTGCCGCCTGTAGTTGAAACAGTGCTACCTAGGTAGGTGAAGGAGGCTACTTCCTTTAAGTTTCTCCCGTTCATGGTGATTGTTGCCTCTTGTTGTTGGTGGTATTGCTGGTTGCGTATCTCCATCACCTCTGTCTTCTATACCTTCACTTGAAGTCCAGTCCTCCTTGGCTGCCCTGCCTCTTCTCTCAACTTGTTAGTTTTCGCCTACAGATCCTCAAGTTTGTGTGACATCAGACACAAGTCATCGGTGAAATCCAAATCTTCTACGTTTTCTTCAGCGGTCCAGCGTATAGCCATCTTCGCACTCCTCATGGTTTGCTGCATGATCCAGTTCAGTCGACTCGACCACAGTCAGGAAGATCATGGGTGATGGTAGGCGACAGCCTTGTCTTAATCCTTCCTGTCTCCACTTCGAAGGCATAACTGAGCTTCCCATTGTGAATCATCCAGCATGTGGCGTTGTCATATAGCTGTTGAATGAGGTTGATGAAGGTTTGTGGTGCTCTGTAGTGTTGAAGCAGTCTCCAAATTACTTCTCGGTTGACACTGTCGAATGCCTTTTCAAAGTGGATGAAGTTGAGGTAGAGTTGCGTAGACTGCCATTCTATACTCTGTTGTATGATGATGCGTAGAGTAGCGTTGCGATTTGATCCGCATATGATTTGTTCTTCCTGGATCCAGCCAGCCTGTTCGGTTAGCATTTTTGAATCCAGCATATCTTTTAGTCTTACGAGGATGATCTGGCTTAATATTTTGTTTGGGGTGGGGAGGGACAGGAGCATGATTCCGCACCAGCTCTTGCAAACACTGAGCTCTCCCTTCTTCGCCAGTTTGATAAGGTAACCCTTCTTACAATCCAATGGCAGGTACCTTCCCTTCCTTCCACACCTTCTGCAATAGTGGTGAGAACATGTCCGCTATTGTCTCTGTGTCTGCTCTCAGTGCTTGTGGCAGGATTCCACCTGGTCCTGCTGCTTTCCCGCATTTCACTAGTTTCATGGCACTCAGGACTTTCACTTCCACTTTGTTGGAGGATTTATGCTCACTTGTAGTTTTGTGGCTGGACTGCTGGTGGTATTTGTGGACGAAGTGCAGGAGGTGGTCGATTCAAGAGCTTCTTGAAGTGGTCAGTCCAGTGTTTCCTTTGTTTCTCTTCTTTCGTAATTCAATTTCCCTCATCATCTTTTATTGGTTTCATGTGTGTTGATCTCTTCCCAGACAGCAGGTAACCTGGTTATTTGATACAATGTTGTTAGGTCTCTCTTACCTGCTGCCTGCAGCCTGTTCTGCTTCACTTGCGAGTGTGTTGTGCAAGTGTCTTTCGTCTTTCCGTGCACTCTTCTTCACTTCTTTGTCCAGTGTTTTATAGGTTGTATTCAGTTCCGCTTTTCGTTGCTCGTCCCTGCGCTCCACTGGTTTATCTTCCCCTTAACCATCCTCATCTCCCTGCTCCATCAGCTTCCGTGTGTCCGTCAACATCCATTCCCTGTCTTGTCCTGTCTTGTCTTGTTTCTTCTTCCTTCCTAATACGGTTGTGCAGGTTTCTTTCCACATCTCTTTCAAAGACTTCTGTGTTCATCCACACAGGTTTCTTCCAAAATGTTCCCCGATATCTCCCATTTGGTCTTGATGGCTGACTGACGTGAAGATTTTCTTTGTAGTTTCATCCTTCAGTTCAGTTTCTGTTCTGGGTGGGTGTTCAACTTGAACTGTGGTCTATCACCAGCTTCCTTGAATTCACGACTTTCAACTTGATTTGGAAGGTTAATTGAACTAGATAGTGGTCTGAGCCTACATCTGCTCCCCTTCTTGACCTTGTGTCAAGTAAGCTGCGTCCCCACTTTCTTGAGATTGAGATAAAGTTGATCTGATTTTCAGTGTAATGTGTCCTGGTGTCTGGTGAAATCTATGTCGCTTTGTGGATATCGTTGTGCTTGAACACACTGCCTGACTCCAATCACCAAGTCGTTGAATGCACAGAATTTTGCAAACATGGTTCATACATGGTGGGGAGATTTCATGTCGCCATTCTTACTTTCGCTTTGATCGAGAGAGAGAAGACACATTAGCAGACTGGTTTCCCGAATACAGGCTTTCACCAACCGACATCATTTCGTCTCTCCGATTCCAGTGAGGAATAATTTTGTTTTATTTTTTATATTTTGTTTGTGCTTTGAATTTTGTTTAGTGATTGGGTTTGTTTTCCGGGGTATGTTTGCTAGTCTTATGCCCAACCTTTCCTGTTTATCTGGGCTTAGAACCAGCTAGTAACTACTGGACTAGTTAACCAGGCGAGGTTACTTATCGATAATAAACTGTCTAAAATAAATGACATTTCTTCTTTATAAAAGGTATGTTTTAAATTATCGAGTTGAATTTCACATCCAATTTTAGCATTTCTTCCTGGGGACCACTGAATTCCCCTAGCGGTTAAATGTTCAGTGCATTCGCTGTAAAAGCCAAAGGTCTTGAGTACCATCCCTGACAAGTTCTTGAGTGTGCCCTGCTGCATAGTCATATAGTAAGACGAGACAGCTGTGCAGTGCTCTTAGAATTTCAATGGCTCTCGAACTGATTTCAGTCCGTGATGAATACTACCATAAAAAAATTTCCGTCAACTTCAAACTTCATATATATGCATAGTGATAGGGACAGTAACTTCTTAGTTGGTTGGAGACAATCGGCAGGAAGCAGTGAACCTAGGTTTCGTGCTTTCCGGCACTCGTCAGCAAGGCGCATCTGCAACCTCGACGGAACTTATATCCAACCTAAGATTCAAATCCACGTCACCCAGTGTTGTAGTCAGTGACTTTACCACTGAGCTATTCCGGCCGCAATTGACCTACTATAGGACCAGCTTACATGTATTGATTGGTCACGGGAGTGCAACCAGCTCCATGCTGTCTAGTCCTGAGTGCCAAAAGCGCGAAACCTAGGTCCAGGGCTTCCTGCAAATCGCCTCCAACCAACTAACATCTACTAATGTGCACCGCGATGTTCAGCTTCTATCGCGATCTGAAACAAACTTAACGAAAGAGTGTCCTTGTTGGTTTGAGAAAACGAGTGTGTGTGAAATTTTGGCAGGCCTAAAGTTGCAATCACTTCACAACAAGAAGAGATCATCAATTAACCATATATAGCTTGTGTTATGGAGCACAGCTTTTCTAAGGAAACTGACATTCATGAAAGTTACTTCTAGCCAGTATCCTTTTGTATTGATTCATTGGCTTTTGCGTATTGAAAAACCTTGAGTTAAATGTTTTGAAGCAACTGACAAAACATTTTTTGACTAAAATATAGAGAATACATATCTCAAAGACTATGTCTATTCAAAGAGTGTAGGAATCATTTTCATTTCTTAAAAGTACATCAAAGAAAGATGAACTGCCAAAATGAAATTTAGAAGTGATATAGACTTTCACTACATATGATGATTGTTATTCTACCTTTCAATAAGTGAGTTTGAAGATAATATAAGTAACTATTTAAACAATTAGTAAAGTTTTGATATTTTATGATTAATCACCTTTCCATCCGAAATTAGAAAAACCTGGTCACTGGCATGGATTTAAAAGTTACCCTTACATAAAACTGATGACAAATGTTTTTCAAAAGGGGATGATGACTCCAAGCCAACTTTCATAACGGATGAACTTCAGTTGGAGAAAAATTGGAAACCTGGGAGCATCTGTTTCGTCTTATTTCGGGACTTAGTTATGCACACATGATAACGCGATAGATTTAGCCCAGAACCAAAAGATCTAACGGTGAATCTTTTATTATATAGACAATGGGTTGAAGTTGGATGGTCCGCATTTGCCCTTACTTCTCTCAATTCACGATATAATACAACCATCTTCAAATTTTGTTCGTAGGCATCTGTCGCATTGTTCACTTGACTAGCCACACAAATCATGACTTCTCATTAGAACTTCGAGAAGTCAGTTCATTATGAAAAGTATATTGAAGTCCTTATTTTCAAATATTTTTATTAAAATAGTA